TGTCTCTTTCTATGCCTTCAAAGTCTCATTTTTTGTGCCAGGCTCAGACTCAGGGTCCAGGATATCACACCTAACTGAGATCCCAGTGTTGGGGAGGTGTCCTAGCGCCAGGGTACAGGGATCTCGAAGCACTTCCAGAGGGCAGGAAACAGACACAACGGTGAGTGTGCAGAGCTGTGCTGCCCATAGTGGAAGCCACTAGCCACATGCAGCACTGGACTTAAACAGAAGGAGCCGGGTGCGGTGCACACACCTGCAATCCCAGCACGTGGGAGGCCCAAGCATGAGGCTGAGCCTGAGCACTTTAGGACTTCATGAGAAAAATAAAAAACAAAAAAACAAAAAAGGACTGGGGCTGTAACTCAAGGGTAAAGACTCTGGCTTCAGTCCCCAGTACTCCCAATAAATAAGTGAAAAATTGGGTTTTCCATTGTAGTAGCCAAATCATTCTTTCTTTTTTTTTTTTTTTTTGGTACCAGGGATCGAACTTGAGTCCTCGCAACCACTGAGCTAAATCCCCGGCCCATGTAGTAGCCAAATCTTAAGTACTCAACAGCATCTACAATTGTCCCTGGGTATCTGCAGGCGCTTGTTCCAGGACTCTTCACAGATACCAAAGGCCACAGGTGCTCAAGTCCCTTATATAAAATGACGCAGTAGTCACATAGAGCCCATGCACATCTTTCTGTGTCCCTTAAATCACCTCCGCATTATTTATTTATAATACCTAATATAATGTAAGTGCTATGTAAATATTTGTTATACTGCATTGTTTGGTGAATGACAATCCAAAACCAAAAAATGTCTATACATATTTAATACAGGTGGAATTCTTTTTTAATCCACAGTTGGCTGACTCTGCATCTATGGCTGCAGAACCCGCCTGCAAGGAGGACCAAAGACATCAGACAATGCAGAGACAGGATGTCTCTGGTCATTGCAGAAAGCCCGTTAACTACGCTGATTAGACAGTAGGTGTACAGCTATGCCCTGCAGCCCCCCAATCCTACTCAGCTTGAGTTGTCCCCAAAGCCTACTCTGACTCAAGGTACAGGTAGTTTTCTGGGTAAAGACCCCCTCAGAAGTACAACTGAATGGGGAAACTGAGGCTAGAAGAGCAGAAAAACCAAGTGGAGAAAAGGGAAGAGCTTATGGTCCTGGCCCAGCTGTGAGAATGAGCACCCTTTAAATTCTGAGTATTGCACCCTTCATTGCCCTCAACAGAGTCCCAGCCCCCAAAGAGTCAGGACTGTGAGCAACTGAACCTCACTCACACTGGGGGATCCCCAGAAAATGCAGGAATTATGTAGAATGCACTTCAATGTTGACCCATGAAAGCCAAGAGTAGGGGTACACGTCTGCAATCCCAGTTACTCAGGAGGCTGAGACAGGAAGATCACAAGTTCGAGGCTAGCCTGGGCAACTTAGCAAGATCCTGTTTCAAAATAAAATAAGAAGGGCTAAGGATATATTCAGTGGTAGAACACTTACCTAGCATGTGTAAGGCTTTGGGTTCAACTTCCAGTAATTTTTTAAAAATGACCTACTGAGGAACAGGGAAGCTGCAGCATTTGTTCCCTGGCTCCCAACCCTCCCTGGCTGGGAATTGCTCCTCAGGGAATCAGTTCTGGTACTTCTTAGTCTGTTCTTTTGTTTTGTTTTTTTGACATGGGTTCTCACTATGTAGTTCAGGCCGGCCTTGAACTCATGACGATCTTCCTGCCTCAGCCTCCCAAGTGGTGGGATTACAGGCATGCACCACCATGGCTGGTTACTTTTAGTCTGTTCTGCATGCAGACAGTAGACATCCTCAGACTCAACTGGAGAACCAGCAAGATGCAGGCACACAAAGTGGGAAGCTGTCAGAGTGGAGGAACTGCCCACTGTATCTACAAGTGAGTGCCAATGTGAACCGAGGGGATGCAGTGTGGTAGGAGGACACCAGCTGGTGTGCTATAGTACATTCTAGAAAACCTCCCACCCAGAGGACAGGTGTGAGCCCATGGTGACGGGGCGCCAGAAGCAACCTAAGTGTCCATCTCTGGGGGAGTGGTAAGCAGAGGCACTGGGGGCGCACCCCGCACCATAATGCAGCCGTTAGAATCTGAGAACTCAATGTCCATGGCTATATGGGGAGATCTCACAAATGGAGTGTTAAGGGTTTTTTTGTTTTTTTTAAGGAAGTAGAAGATTTATAGCACAATTTCATTTATGTAAATTGGAGACACATGTACAAACAAAGTCACAAATTATAAAGGTGCGTCTTTGCCACTATATATCAAGTGCATTAAAGTGGATATCAGCGAGGGGGAAGGGTGGGAATGGAAATTGGGGGTGGGAGGGTTACACTGCAGAGGGTCTTTTATGGACCAATTGTGATGCTGTGTTATGAGCTGAAGAGTATGATTAATAACTTTCTGTGGCTAAGGACTAAAAAAAAAGAAATAAAGGCATGAAAAATATGAGGGCTCCTACACATCAGAGCAGTTTCTTACCTGCTACACAATTGTTATTATCCCGGGCTAACAATAAACGCCACAATCAGACTCTGCCCCTGCCTGCCTGGTGGAAGCTCTCCTCACTCCTGCCCCCAAGGCAGTCCCCTCCGGGGCCCCAACGAAGAAAGAGCTCCCCATCTGTGCCAGGCCCCAGAGGGAGCTGGGTACCTGATACTGCACTTTCACAGTATGTGCAACCGAGTGAGCACACACCCAGCCCTGTCATTTCCTCCCTGGGCCTCAATTATATCATCCAACTGGGGATGACCAGAGCATTAGTCAGGGTTCTCTAGAAGACAAAAGCTTAGAATATACAGGGATGCACTGCCTAACAGTGATTTGGTCAGAGACAGACCACATTCACAATGTGATCTCATAAGATTGTATTGCTTCCCCAGGGGGTGGTGCACACCTGTAATCCCAGCACTCAGGAGGCTGAGGCAGGAGGAGTTGGGCCACATAGTGAGGCAGTGGCTTCAAAAAAAAAAATCTGTAACAGGGCCGGGGATTTAGCTCAGTGGTTCCGACACCTGCCTTGAAAGTGCAAGCTCTGAGTTTGATTCCGGGTACCATAAAAAAAAATTGTAACAGTGGACCCCCAAGTTACCAGCAGCCTGACATACAAACAACTTGGGTTATGACTGGAATTTTAGTTTTAACTTGTGAATGAAGTCTTGAGTTACAACCTGCATGCCAGCCGCTTGTGCTTCCAGATGGTCTCAGATACAGATTTAACCCTTAAAGAGTTCTGGAAGGAACAGTACAACATCCTTTCCTGTGTGGGGTCAATTGAGAAATCCTGGGCCAATGTCTCTCTAAGGACACTGAGATTTGCCTGTACACAGGAGAGAGACTTTGAAGGCTATGTAGAGGAACCTGAGCCTTTAATTGACCAACTTGAGTTACAATCAGCCCTCGAGAATTAATTGAGTTGTAAGTCAAAGGTCCACCATATTTCTCGGTTACTCACTGAAGGCACTTTAGTTTTTGCAAGTACACTCTAGGATGTTCACACAACAAAATAAATTAGCAATGCATCACTTGGAATGTAGCCCTGTCATTAAGTGGCACATGTCTAAGTATAGGAGAGGCTGAGGAATCCTATAAGGCCACCTGCAAACTGGAGAAACAGGGATGCTGCTGACATTGTAGTAGCTTAGTTTAGTTATTATAAATAAATGGAGAAGCCTGAGATGGATAGAAAAGAAAATAGCCCAGGTAGGTTAAGAACTAATTCAAGCAGCTAAACCAAACTTAGAGATGCAAAGGTAAACACAAGAGCAAAGGATAAGAGGCTGGGATGAGAACAGAGATAGATAGAACTCTCCCCTCCAGGACTGACTCACCCAAACATGTTAAACTTTAACAAGTTCTCTTCACCTCCAGGCCTGGAGAGAATAGATATGCCAGGCAAACAGTTTTCTTTCTGAACTTTGAATTTCAGCCCCTTCAGCTCTCTACATACATATATGGCTGAGGTAAAGAAAACATAATTGGACTTCTCTCCCCTCTTGGGTATCCAAAATCTTTTTCTTATTATTTCTAATAAGCTCTCTCCTAAATTCCTCCTTTTGTCCTCAAATTTATTCTTTAATTTTCAGAGACAAAAGTAACTGTTTCAACATTGCTAAGTCAAAAGGCCTTCAGAATCAGGGAAGCCAAGGCTGGGAACCTGAGAGCGGAGAGTGTAATGTTCATGTCCCAGGATCCAAAGTCCAGAAAACATGGAGGAGCGCTGATGTCAAGGACAGGAGAAGAATGTACCCCTGCTTGGCAGAGAGAGTGTGAATTTCCCTTTCCTCTGCCTCCTCCCTCCCTCCCCAGTACTGAGGATTGAACCCAGAGCTTTTGGATTCATCCCCAGCCCATTTTTGTTTTTGTTTCTATTTTGAAACAAGGTCTCACTAAGTCACTAAATTGCCTAGGCTGGACTCAAAACTTGTGACCCTTCTGCCTTAGCCTCCCCTAGTGTGGGGAACATTTTTAAATGAATAGCAGAAGCTCCCTCTCTGTCAGTCAGGTGGCCTCATCCACACACTCCAAGTCACCACACACACACTATGCAAGTCCCCAGTCACATCCCTGTCCCCCACCTCAGACTCAGTGGGGGACAGACCAAGCTGAATGCTGCTGAAGGAGTCCTACAAAAGATTTTAGAGGCTCTCAGGATTGAATTTCAGTTTCTCTTTCCAGGCTCATCTGGGCATGCCCACACCTGCTCACTACCTGGCTCCACCTACCCATGGCCTTTTAGGTCAAGGTGGAAATTCACTTTTCACGTTGCTGATTTCACTTTAGGAGCATCATCTGGCGATTGCACGCTCAGCCTGGATATGAGGCATAGCCATGCCACTGGGGAGGCACTTGCCAACTAGTCATGACCACAATGATACCCGTGTGGCTCCTGGTGACTGTGGTGCTGGGCTGGGCCACAGCAGGCCCTGCCCCACTGCCAAGCCCACCTCAGCCAGGACAGACTGTCACCTTGAGACATTTCTATCTATGTCACCATGGGAGATCCAGGCCTTCAAGGAGGCGAGGGATAACTTGGTGAGTGTCTGTGGTTTCGAGCAAAACTCTATCCCACTACCATGGCCAGGCTGCTGGCCTATGGCCTAAGGTCTGCCCATTCTTGCCACGACCAGTGTGGCTGAAGGGTTCACAGAGTGAGAAACAATGGTGAGAGATTAAGAAAGACAAAGAGATATAATAAGGTATAGGTGGGGGCCAAGTGGGGCTCTAACTCCTGATGGGAGGAAAAGACCCCAGGCAAATGCAGCATGTGTATTTATAGTGGTAGAAATAGGGGAAGTGCAGGGGGTAGGTAAAAGGGGCTGGTCTGTAACCAGAGCTAAGGGCTGCAGGACATCATGTTTGGTGTTTCTCTGGCGAATGGGTGGGGAGGAAGACAATCCTCTTGTCCCTCTTGCTCTACCACTGGCTCTTGTCACCTGTCCTCCTCCCACAGGGCCATGCCTCATCCGTGGGAGGAGGTGAGTTAGGCCTGGCCATAGCGATCTACAGCACAGTGCTCCCAGCATGTTCTGCTGTGGCCTAGCCTCTAGCCTTGCTCTATGACTAACCTCCATCTTTCTGCTACTGGTTCAACTTGAACCCTCCTGCCACGTCAACCTTCTTGCTCGCTGCTATGTGTGATCTCCACCCTCTGGGTGAGCTAACCTGCACCCTTGCTGTCTAGGAAAAGGACCTCCCGCTGAAGGACTACTGGTGGAGCTCCCCCTCTTCCCCGGGGCCTGGGGCCTGCAGAAGCTGCAGGTGAGTCGGAAGTCACCCTTGCCCTTACCTTGCCCCCTCAGATGACCCCTCACAATCTCCCTGCTTGTCCCACTTCCCTGTGTTCCTCATGTGTCCCTCTCACTTCCACATTGTCTTGATCCTTCTTATCTTGCTTTTCTGTCCTCTCCCTATGGCCCGTCTGTCCCCAACCTGGGCCCCTGTCCTGCTCCACACTGATCCTCTCTGCCCTCGCATCCCCCTCCCCACCTCTTAGCCCTGCTTTTTTGTTTGTTTGTTTTTTTGAGGGGTTTTTGGTACCAGGAATTAAACTCAGGCCCTCGAACTTGCCAGGCATGTGCTGCACCACTGAGCTACATCCTCGGCCCTTGGCCTCTCTTTCCAGGACCTGCTCCCAGCCTTCACTCCCTTGTCCTCCCCATTCAGCAACTGTCCCCTCCCTGTCCCCTAGCCTGTTCTCTTCTTGCCTGTCCCCATGTCTTGTCCCATCAGACCTCTGTTCCCCTCACCTGTCCCCATTTTACTTTTCCCCTCACCTGTCTCCTTCCTTGTCTTTCTGCCTCACCTGCATCTCTCCGTCCATACCCTTCCTCCTGTGTCCCCCTTCCTGTCTCCCTCTCACCTGTCCCATGTCACTTGCCCTCCTCCCCGTACTCCCTACCTCACTCCTGAGCCTTCTTGCCTCTCTTTCCTCACCTGGTCTTTCTCACCTCTCCAGGTGTGGGAGTGCCCTGCGGCCCTGCAGGCTGAGCTCACCCTGACACTGGAGGTCCTGGACAACATCACCAACCTGGCCCTGGAGGACATCCTGAAGCAGCCCCTCCACATGCTGCGTCACATCCGCTCCCAGCTCTGGGCCTGTGTGAGTGCTCTGGCCCCTGTGCACCTCCTGGGCTCTCAACCCTGACCCTCCCTGTGTGCCAGCCTCAGCTCACAGTGCCCTCTCTGCCCCCAGGTCCCAGCTCACAGTGCCCTCTCTGCCCCCAGGCCCCACAGTCGCCTCCTGTCCCAGTGGCTGCAGTGGCTCAAGCAGGCCACCAAGAAGGTGAGGAAGCAGGAGGTCCATGTCTCAGGCATCAGGGGACCAGGCTGTGGGCAGCCCCTGAGCCCTCTCTGCATCCCCACAGGAGTCCCCTGGCTGCCTTCAGGCCTCTGTCATCTCCAACCTCTTCTGCCTGCTCACCTGGGACCTGAGATGTGTGGCCAGGCCAGACCAGTGTGCCTAAGAATGTGGGCTGCCCCAGACTGTCTGAGACCCCAGACTCTATTTATACATTAACCCCTGCCCCCGCCTCAAGTTATTTGCTCTCCCTCCTTATTTATGAAGCTATAGTCCTGACTCACACCCAGGGCTGAGTTTATTTTTATACTTTCTTACTTTTATATAATATGTACAAATAAAAAACACAGACTTGGACCCGTCTGTGGCCAGGGAATCCTTGAGTATGTGCATGTTGGTGACTGAGAGTGGATGTCCATGTTCGCAGGCAGGATTCCTGGCTGGTGGTACACATGTGTGTGCCTGATGTGTGTGACTGTGTATCTGCTATGGATGTGGAATGTCCTCCAAAGGCCTGTATGTGAAAGGCTTGGTATCCAATGCAGCAGAGTTCGGAGGTGGGGCCTTGGGGAGGTGGTTGGATCATGAGGGCTCTTATCTCACCAGTGGCTTAACCCACTGGTGCGTCCATACTCTGATGGGCTATTGGGAGGTGCTGGAGACCAAGGAGGTGGGGCAAGTTGAAGGGAAGGGCTTGGGGTGTCCCCTTGGTGATTCTACCTTGTCCCTGGTGTGCACTCTCTCTCCCTCTCTCTCTCTCTTTCTCATCTTTCTCTGCTTCCAGGCTGCCATGGGGTGAGCATCTTTGCTCCATACATGCTCTCCACCAAACAACCATGGACTGAAACCTCTGAAGTCATGAGCCAAAATAAATCTTACCTCCTTTTGGTTGATTTTCTTGGGGATTTTGTCACAGTGATAGAAAACTAAGACAAGTGAGTGTCTCCCCAAATCCAAGTCTAACCAAAGATGTGTAGCAGTGCATATTTATACCATGTGCTTGCAAGTATGCATTTATGCACATGTTTATATGTGTCTATTTGAACTGTATATTTCTCTTTTTCGTCTGTACCTGGACAAATTGGGTCTATATCACTCAGGATGCTTTATTCTATAATAAGTAATCAGAAAATGCAAATGGCCAAAGTAAAAAGGATTTTATAATTCCATATAAGAAAAAATCAGCTGGCAGAGCAAGTGTAGGGCTGGTTAATTCATTCATTCAATAATGTGCTGGGGAAACCAAATCCTCTTTATTTCTATTGGCTGATTCATACTGTGGCTACCTCATGATCCCAAGATGGCAGCCATAGCTCCAGCTCTCCTACATAAACAACTTCCAAGTCATAACAAACCACTCCAAACTCAGTGGAGTAAGATAACAACCATCTTATTATGCTCACAAGACCCATCATGGATAATTTGCCTCAGCTCTACAAAACCCAAGGCCTCAAATCTTCTATACTTTTTTTTATTTTTTTATTTTTTGGTACCGGGGTGATCCTTGGGTCCTTGAGTTTGCGCAGCAGGTGGTAAAACTGCTGAGCTAAATCCCTGGCCCTATGTCTTTTTTTTTTTCCTGGCCCTATGTCTTGTTCTTTTTTTTTTTTTTGGTACTGGGGATCGAACTCGGGATCTTGCGCTTTCGAGGCAGGCGCTGGAACCACTGAGCTAAATCCCCGGCCGTGTTTGAGACTTGTATATGCTGGGCAAGTGCTCTACCACTGACCTTCATCCCCAGCCCCAGTTCCTCACTTATTAGAAGCAAGAAAGTAGACATAGTCAACTATTTGATCTTTGACAAAGGGGCAAAAAGCACACACTGCAGGAAACAGCCTCTTTAATAAATGGTGCTGGAAAAATTGGCTATCCATATGCAGAAAATTGAGTCTAGACTCATATATTTCATCATGTACTAAACTAAAATAAAAATGGATCAAAATCTAAATATTAAAACAAAAACACTTAACCTGCTGGAAGATAAAATAGGCATAGACAAAGACTTTCCGAGCAGAACCCCAATGGCACAAGAAATAATATGGAGAATCAACAAATGAGATCACATCAAATTAAAAAGCATGTGCACAGCAAAGAAAACAACCAACAGAGTGAAAAGAAAACTTATAGAATGGGAAAAATTTTGCTAGCTATTCCTCAGACAGTGGATTAATATCTAGAATATACAAAGAACTCAAAATATTAGACCTCCTGGGGCCAAGAATTTAGCTCAATGGCCCCAAGCCTGCCTCATCAGTGCAAGGTCCTGAGTTTCATCCCCAGTACCAGAAAAACAAAAAATTAGACCTCCCAAAATAAAAGGCTCAATCAAAAAAAATGGGTGGGTAAAATGAATAGACACTTCTCATAAGAAGTACAGATGGCCAATAAATAGAGGAAAAAAATGTTCAGCATTGCTGGCCATTTAAGAAATGCAAATTAATCAGGCTTTGTGGTGCATTCCTGTAATCCCAACATTTGAGAGGCTGAGGCAGGAGGATTGCCATAAGTTCAAGGCCAGTTAGGACTATATAGTGAATTCAAGGCCAGCCTGAACTACGTAACAAGACCCTGTGTCAAAAAAACAAAGAAAAAAGAGAGAGAGAGAGAGAGAATTAAAACAACATGAGATTCCATCTTACTCTGGGAAGAATGGCTATCATCAAGAAATCAAATAACAAATGCTGGTGAGGATGCAGGGAAAAAGGAAATTTCTACGCCATTGGTGAGAATGTAAACTAGTATAACTACTAGGGAGATGAGTATGGAGTTTTGTCAAAAAACTAAAAATAAAAATTCCATTTGACCCAGCTATTTCCCTTCTAGATATCTTCCCAAAAGAGTTAGAGACATCATGTTACAGGAATGCATGCATACCTATGTTTATAGAAGCACAATTTATAATAGCTAAATCTTGGAAATGGCCTATATGCCCATAAACAGATGAATGGATAAAGAAAATGTATTTACACACATTGGAGTACTACTGTGCCATAAAGGATAAACTTGAGGCATTTGGGCAACTCACTCAGGAGCCCTCCTATCCCTCAGGACCTATTCCTATTCTCCAATAAACCATTCCTACTCTTAACCTCCTTTGTCCTTTCAAATTTATCCTTTGATTTCAAGGGACAGAAACTTGGCACATCTGACATCTAGCAGGTTGAGAGTTATACTTCTCCTATATCGTTTTGGAGGTTCCACCAAAATGGTTGGAAAGAGAGGCTGCCAAACTCCAAGCAGTCATACAGATGGAATCAACAACTAGACCAACCTTCTAAAGGGATTTCATAACTGCTAAAGCCCAACATGACTTCTATCCAAGACCCATTAGATTAGCTCCCTGGAGATGGCCCCTGACTGGGGTCTGTCCTATATTAACCCTTCTCATCTCAAAGCAGCTAGACCAAAACTATGCCCATTCCCCGCTTAACACAGGAATAACTCTTCAGAGGGGGAAGAGTATAGGCAGCTAAATTAGGTAGACACTAATATACAGTCAGAGAGGGACTGGGCTCTGAAGGAAGTCAGTGGAAGGTGCAGACATCAGAATTGTGGCCAGAGTTGCACCTGAAGAAGGCAAGGCCTCAAGATAGTCATGTGGCTGGACTTGTACATTTCCCCTAAGGGAGAAGCAGAACTGTACAGTAATTAGTACCACCCAGTCCATTAAGTCCAGATATGCATCAGACACCTAGGTGGGTGACCAGAACACCTGGGCCCATCCCTTCCCCAAATGTTTCTGTTTTGTTTTGTTTGGTTTTGGTTTTGGTTTTTTGAGCCAGGCTCTTGCTTTGTAGCTCAGGCTGGCCCTGAACTCTCCATGTAGCCCAGGTTGGCCTCAAACTCGTGGCAATCCTCCTTTCTCAGCCTTCCAAGTGCTGGGATTACAGGTGTCTGCCACTATGCCTGGCTTAATGTTTCTGTTTTAGAAATCACAGATGACCCAAAGTTAATGATTTTAGCCATATGACACTGCTACATGCCCTGCTTTGCTATTGGATCAATATTAGCTAAGTGGCTATTCTTGCAATCTCACTAATTGATTATAATTTGACCCTTGTCATACCCACATCGTGACTTTGCTGATAAATTATCCCTGACAAAAGGCTTTGGTGGCCACCCATTGAGGACTCCTCCTGTTCCACAGGAGTTATTGCTATTTGACAATAAACCTTTTCTATTCTTAAAAAAAATAAAACTTGAGACATTTGTACATAAATGGATGCATCTTTAGACTATAATGTTAAGTCAAATCAATTAGACATACAAGTTTAAATATAGCATGGTTTCTCTTATATGAAACACCCAAAACATAAACAGAGAGCAAAATATAATATATATAATAGGAAGTAGGAAGATCTTTTTCAAATGGGAAGGGGCATAAGAGATGCAGGGGAGAAGAAAAGAAGGACAAGGGATTTTTTAAAAAGAGAATTGGAAAAATTGGAAATAGTGCTTTTTCAAATGGGATTGGGATCAAGAGTTGGAGGGAGACAGCCAGAAGCCCATCCAGAATCCATCTGTAAGTGTGTGCAGATCCCACTGAGAAGCCCTGTGGGACCAGAGTGGTGTGGTTTTGGGCAGGTCCTAGCCAGGGCCCCACCCAACCCACAGGCCCAGCCAAAGACCTGCCTGGAAAAGAGCTACACAGGTGCACAAGCAACAGCCAGAGACCCGCCCAGATACCACTGGTAAGTGCATGCAGATCCCAGCCAGAAGTCCACTCAGACACCAGTGATTGGTATACACAGCCAAAGGGCCTCCCAGACAACAGGCTACATCGGGGGGCAGGCCCCAGCCACAGGCAGGCTCAGATACCATCCCAAGTGTGCACAGGCCCCAGCCAGAACCCCACCTGGACAACAGGGCAGTGCAAGGATCCAGAAGGCCACCATTCTGAATGCAGGAATTGGCCCAGGGGTGAGCAGGAGAGGAAAGGCCTCTTGGTGGCTTGCTGAAAATTTAAGACCACTGGGTGAGCAAAAAGTCATCTCAACAAAGGTGCAGCAGGTTGCATCTGTGGAAATGAGAAGACTCATAAACAAGTCTCAAAACCAGACTTCCAGATCACCTAAGGCAACCCCAAAGGGCAATGGGATGGAACAATCTGATACTAAACCACCTGGACTCCCTGAACTGGCAATGAAAGAGGATCTGGAAAAAATG